GTATATTGTAAGGAAACTTACTGTTAATCATTTAACAGGTTTTTAGTGTGGTATTTCTACAGTCTTTTACCGTTAAAATCACAATAATTTTTTACAGTGTAAGCCATACATGGACTCCTTTATTGGGGTTTTGTATAGGTATATGAACTGTCCCATTCCTTCAAAATTGACATCAAAGTAAACAATGATGGCATTTCCTTTATTCTGAGTATATATATATATATTGAGGATGCACAAAGCCTTTTTGAAAAATGTCTGTGTTTTCCCACACAGCAAAAAAAAAAAAAAAAGTTTTTAAAAGTTTTTTTTTTAAAAAGTAACCAAAATCTATTTTAAATATATGTTGTAAACAGCAAAGCTCTATGAAATATATTTTTGAAATAGAAATATATTTAGTTTCAATCCTCATATACCAAAATATATTTCAAAATGTATTTCCGGGCAAGAAAATACATTTCCAATTGAACAGTAGCCTACATTTAGCCTAAATGCAAATGTTGATGGAATAGCCATACGATCAAAACTACATTAATAAGAATTTATTTTATAAGATCATTTTAGAATTTAATTTTATAAAAAAATATATGTTAATTTGTGTTATAGACAACAATTAAAGTTTTTATTCATATGTGACATTTTCTTAGATTAAAATATATAGCACAAAATATATTTTTCAATGTTTTTTTAAAATATAAATTTGTAATATATATATATATATATATACACATACATACACACACACAGTAGTCAACATTTGAAGTGGATCAAAACCTTTAAAGTTGTCCTAAAACCAAAATGCATTCTTGTCTTAGGACAACTTTTATGAACTTTTTTGATCCACTTCAAATGTTGACTACTGTATATATATATATATATATATATATACTGTATACATACAAATATATTGCATATCTCTTCTATATTATGTATACAAATATATGATATACCTCTTTTGCAGTAGGTACCAATCTATCCCATTTCTGGTTCGCTGTCCAGCAAGTGACCATCATGGACCAAAACGCAACCAATTCAACTGAAGGACCTTGTGGCTTGTCTGAAATGCCAGCTCGTCCATTCTTCCTATGTTTATACACATTGATTTTTCTGGCAAGCCTGGTGCTCAACAGCATTACAATATATGTGTACTTTTGCAAAGCTACAAATCAATCCAGCATCACAATATATCTGAAGAATCTGGCTATAGCCGACTTGTTTGTGTGCCTGTGTTTGATATTACGCATCGCTAAATATGCTAGAACTTCAATGGAACTTCAGCGTATCTACTGTAACTTTGGCGCTCCAGCTTCCTACCTCAACATGTACTCCAGTATTCTCTTCATGGGCTACATCGCTGCAAACAGGTATGGATTTTCATCCTTTTCTGGTAAAAAAAAATTAACTTGATTTTCGACTAAATTGTGACCGCTTAATGTAACATTTTTGACAAGCTGAATATGTCAGTCTCTGAGTGACGTAAATATTTATGCCATGAAATAACTTAATGTTCATTCTATAAAATAAGTATAATGAACTGAGCAAAAATAATAATAAAAAAAATCAGTCATAGCTCATCCCTCATGCAATCTATCACATTCGTCAACAACTATTACAACTAAAAACATTAATACAACACAGGCATCAGTCACTTCACTGAATACTTGCTGGCTAAAACATAAATAATTATTAAAATCCACATCATTTGAATATCACAACATCAATGTCTGTCAAAAAATAACATGCATAATACACCGTTACCTGGAAAACCCACTCTACCAGATGTTTTGACGATGTCATTGCCAGTTTTGGGGGGAATGCATCACAAGTAACGCAAGTTATGTAACCAGATTACTTTTTTCAAGTAACTAGTAAAGTAGCGCATTACTTTGTAATTCACAAGAAAATATCTGAGTTACTTTTTCAATAAGTAATCTCATTTGTTTTCATATTTATTGACTGACAGCTCTTTGACAGCTATTTGAGCTGCGCCCTCTACTGTGCAGACGTGAATTTACATTTCCTTCAGCCTG